ATCTTTTAAATTGGAATGGTTTGCCTGAATTAATTTAGTCGGTATCACACTCTAGCCACGACATGTCGTTTCTTCTTTTTCTCCCAATGAGAAACCCCGGCTGGCCGGCCATCGATCCCTTTCTCTGTGTCAGACTTAACTTTGTTTGTTGTCATCTTCTCAATAAAGCCGCGAGTGGGGCTTAAGGGATTGATGTCACCTGCGTCTGCGCAGTGCGACGCGTCTGATGTGGCCCCGAAGCGAGACACAGGAAACAGAAATACTGCAAAATAATAATAACACGATTAAACAAGACGAAATAACGTTATAACATTTCTTCTCGTTTTTTATCGTCAACGATATTGCATTATACATTTTCGTTGCGTCTCATCTCGTTTTTGTCACGCGATAAAGGTTCGTTGACGACGATATTTAGTCATAATTTTCGTTGACGAAAGCAACACTACTGGAAAGACGTGCCCTGGTGCAAGCCTCATCAGCTGTTCTGAGCCCCAAGCAGGTTAGAGCCATTGGGGCTCAGTGTAGAGGAGGGCGCATCTCCCCTCCACTAGTACTGTCGGTTCCTGGGCTTCTCCCTCTGCTATTAGTGTGGGTGTAATCTCTCTCACCCCGGACCCTGATCCAGACCCGGACCTTCCTGTCCCTGAGCCCTTGCCCTACTCGGCTACCCATTGCCATCTGTCCTGGCAGAAGCCCAAGCAATCCACCAGGAATTAAAGGCACAGATGGTGTCTCCCCTCTTGGCTCTTCACCCACAGACCCTAGAGTCGCACCCAGTCTCCCTGGGCAGGGGCTGCAGGCACAGAAGGCATCCTCCGTCCCAGCCCAACAGCCAGTTGCAACAGCCTTCTCCTTCTCACCCGGACCCCCAGCTCCCCAGTCTCCCTGGGCAGGGGCTGCAGGCACAGAAGGCATCCTCCGTCCCAGCCCAACAGCCAGCTGCAACAGCCTTCTCCTTCTCACCCGGACCCCCAGCTGCAGCAGCCTTCTCTGTCTCACCTGGACCCCCAGCTGCAGCAGCCTTCTCCGTCTTACCCGGGCCCCCAGCTACAGCAGGCTTCTCCATTTCATTCAGACCCCCAGCTGCAGCAGTTCTCCCCATCTCCACCGGTCCTTCAGCTGCAGCCTCAGCCAGGGCCCCAGCCTGACTCCCAGATTCAGCATGCCGAGCAGCAGCAGCAGCAGTCTCCATCTGGTCCCGAGCAGCAACCTCAGAATCAGCGCGACCTCCCGCTGCAGCAGCCCTTGTCTCAACCCGACCTCCAGCTGCCGCAGCCATTGTCTCACCCGGGCCTCCAGCTGTCACAGCCCTCATCTCAGCAAGACCTCCAGCTGCCACAGCCCTCTTCTTTGCTAAACCTCCAGCTGCAGCAGCCTCCTCCTGAACCCAAGTTGCTGTCACCTCCAGCACTGAATTACATCTTGAACACAGTTTTAAAAGGCGTTTTGGATTAATAGCAATTTAATCACAGCACATGGCAGATATACTGTAAAGTAAATGCAGTTACAGTAGGCATTCACATCTGTAACTTTGCAGCAAAGGCAAATCTCAAGTCAAATATTTTGGGGGGCAACTGGGTAGGTGGAATCATATCACCGAACATATTTGGTGCTCTATTTCTATATGGACCTGCAAAATGCCCACATATTGTTACGTCCACGGATCAGGCTGTCCCTGGCACCTTGGCAGCAGACACCGGGGCTGCTGGCGACTCCACCCCTGCTCACGTAGGAGCACGCCCCGGTGGCGAGGCATACCTGCGCTCAATTAGCAGAATCGTACTTAAGCACAGCGCTGGTGTGTTCTCATCACCAGATGATCTCTCATTCTTCTACCGACGACTTCGCATATTACACGTCCTGGATCCTGATGACCACTGGTATCGAACTACCCTGGTAAATTCTTGTCATCCACTGTGTCGACCTGAGTGAGATTATTTTGTCTTGTTTATGTTTTTCTGAAATGATCACCGTGGAGTACTTTTAAGTTTTTCTGAACTGATTACCGCGGAGTACTTTATGTTTTTCTGAACTGATTACAGAGGAGTACTGCTCCAGCTGTGTCAGCTGTGAGTGATCAGCTGTGGATGGCGCATATGAACTGACATGGACTACTGTTAGGTAATTTTAGTCAGATAGATATTGGATAGATACTTTATGTATTAGAAATGTTTAGTGGAGATAGGATGTCTAGTTAGACTGTTAAATGCTTAGGCCTGCTTATGAGTTTCTACAGGGTACTTCTGGTCAAGGATACCAGAGAGAAGAGTTGATGACTGTCAGCAGACAGGGTGTTTAATATTATTATTACAACGTGTATAACTGTAGCCTTAGCCACAATATGTTCTTATGTTTAAGCCACGACATTTACTAGAGGTCGTGAGAATGTTTTTAGTTACACACCACTTAACCAGCGCACACACACGTTCACACATTGATTTGCTTCATGTTTTGACTACTGCTATGACCAGCTGCAAAGCTGGTAACAGAGACGTCCCGGTTGACGTTTCTGTGTAGTATGGGGCTAGCCCAACCGAGGTGATATAATGTATAGGCCTGGTGGGCTCAGGGTCTTCCATCTTACATCTGCCTGCGTGCATGTTGGAGGTGCAAGATACTTGAGCGTGTAATGTTAATTTTACCTGTGATCCTTTGAATAAATCAGCACTGTTTTGAAGTTACTTGGACTGCCTCGTCTTTCAGAGTTAGCAATGGTAAAACGAATCATATCTTACACTACTGTTCTGTATGTGCCTACTGCATAATGCGCTGTCAGTTTTTCTGGATTTATATTCTGTTTTATGATTCATCATTTGGCTGTGTACTGTGCCACTCTTTTTGGAGTTTGGTACAACTGCACTAGTGGACTAGCTGGACTAAACCTTTTTTCACATTTGATGATGCTCAAAATATCCTCCAGTTCAACCAATTATAAAATAAAGTAAAGAATGGGATGTGTTCCAAAACCCGACTGGTACACTGCTGTTTCAGCCTGGTGGGCGCGGTCACTGTTCATTTTAACTGCACTACAACAAGTGGCATGCTGGCACAGGCAAATGGAAGGTAGTTATAGTGAAATGTCCCCCATCGTCATCAGACTGCCTGACTAGCTCCTACGTTCAATGGGTCTCTCTCTCTCTCTGCAATGACTGGCTGTACTTCATAGTGTTGGAGATATTTAATAATAATAATTCAGTAAGTTACACCTCATATTGTGATGCACTACATTTCATTTTCCACTCTAGTTCACACCTTACAGGTCCATGGACACAGCCAACACAATCAGAAAATGAAGACTTTCTTGAACAAATTTTCCCCTGTTAATATCAAATTGATATTGATATAATTGTCTACTTCTTTGCAGCATAATGTACATGATGTTCACTACTGTATGCTGGAAACTTATGGTGCAATGTTAAGCATGTTTAATGCAGTAGATCTTAGACTAGAGACATGAAACCCAGCGTATAATAGTCTATGGTTTGACAATTCAGAAAGCTATACTGTTGGTGGACCGTATAGTAGGCTTTGCGATATCTGGTGGCCAAAAGGAGAACCACAGGTTGGATTTTATGAGCCTCATGCAGGTTTAAAAATCATTGCATTATTGATGCAGTGCGACCGACAGGGCACTGCAAATATAATGCAGTGGAAAAATGTATATATTTGCTTGAGCAGATTAAGTGTTGAGTCTTACCTCATACTGTCCAAAGTTGCGTCTCTGTCTGAAAAGAAGAAAAAAGAGGGTGGCAGAGACGGCTGTCTGGGCCAGAGTGACGAGAAGGAGGGACAGTTTCACTCCTCTGCTCAGCCTCTGTTGTAAAGGTCACAGCACTCAAATTAATGTTTGTTACTACAACACAAGAACATTTATTCCATGTATGACAGCAGCTGTGGAGTGTCAAACAGAAAGGAGAATTATTGATTTTATCATGCAAATGAATGTGGCTTCCAGTGACAATGTTCAGATTTATTATTGGAGAAGTTTTGCACATAAATATTCACTGAGTAGCCTGCTAAGATGACTTATCAGCTTTTGTGCATGGAAGAAAGAAAGTCTCTTATCCTGTAACCAGCAGCAATTACTGTATATACGGTAGCATAATATACTCACAGATGCATCCAGTGTGTGAAATGCATGAGGGTCTCGGGGTTGTTTGCATGTAACTTTGTAAACATTTTACTGTTTTAAAAATAATACAATAATGTTATACTGTAATCATTGCATTTCTGGTGAAACTGACTGTGATCCACTGGAGTAAATACCTAGTGGATGTGTTGCTCAGTTCATCTCAAACTATAGCTGCTTTCAAAGCTGATTAAGCAGTCATAAAATGCATAACATTGACTCAATATATCACCACGGTAGTAATAACAGAACGTCTTTAAGAAACCTGTTCATTTGAGAAAACTAACTTAATAGTGACAGTAGCACACAGTAAGGTCATGCTGACCTTACCTGCTGCCTAGAATTAAGTTCAGTTCAATTCAGTTTTATTTGTATTGCACCAATTCACAACAAAAATAATCTCAGGACACTTTACATAGTAAGGCTTAGACTTTACAGTATTGTTGAGAAAAACCCAACAAACCTCCCTTGAGCAACACTTGGTGACAGTGGGGAGGTAAAAGTCTCTTTAACAGAAGAAACCATTAAATACAATTTAACTGCTTTTTGCTAGTTCCCGTCAGTACTCTGACTGTAGCATTTTGAAATTATTGGGACATCCTGATTGTAAAGAGTTACAGTAGTCCAGCATGGAAGTAACAAATGCATGGACCAGTTTTTCAGCATCACTTTGAGACAGGATGTTCCTGATTTTTGTGATATTGCACAGGTGAAAAAAGGCAGTTCTAGAGACTTGGTTTACGTGTGATTTAAAGGACATATCCTAAATTACTACAAGGTTCCTCACAGCATTACTGGAGGCCAGAGCTATGTCATCTAGAGTAACTACATGGTTAGACAGCAGATTTCTATGATTTTCAGGCCCAAGTACAATAACTACCATTTTGTCTGAGTTTAGAAGTAAGAAATTACAGGTCATCCAGGCCTTTATGTATTTAAAACATGCTTGAAGTTTTACCAACTGATCTAATTCATCTGGGTTCATAGATAAATAACTGAATACCACATCAACCTGGCCAGTATTTGATTGTTTGTTGTTGTGTTTGTTGTTCCTTGTTACTTTTCTTTTCTTTCCTCTATCCGCTCACCTCAACTGGTCAAGGCAGAAGGCCACCCACCAAGAGCTGAGGTCTGTCAGAGGTTTCTTCCGTTAAAAAGAGTTTTTCCTCCCCACTGTCACCAAGTGCTTGCTTAAGGGGGGGTTGTTGGGTTTTTCCTCTATAATATTAATAATAGTAAGGTTTAGACATTACCATGTAAAGTGTCCTGAGATGACTTTTTGGTCATGTGGTGTTATACAAATAAAAATGAATTTAATTGCAATTGAATCTGCATAGCAAAGGAAATTGTACATTAATAATCGGAACGTCTGCAGGGTATTTGTTATTCATCTTGGCTTGAGCTGCTTTCATGTGTTATTTTGTGTGCTTAAGTGTCATTTTTAATGTGGATTTGGATTCCCAACCACTAACTGCAGCTCACCACTGGCTATTCTGTAAGGACAGATTGTGCATTCTGACATGTAAACACTGTTGGACTATAATCATATGTATAGTCACATACTGAGGGCTAGTTTATTTGAAAGATTACAATAAATGGTATGGAGTGAATTCTGGCAGATCAATTATGGATTTAAGGGTTAATTTCAAGTTGGTGTGGCCATTAAAATACATTTGGGTAGCTGTTCTCATGCTTCCCAGCCTACACAGGAAAATTGCAATGCAACTGTAATTGCAATAAGAGGCGGTCTGAACAGGTATTATCACTATTTCGGGTCAGAATTAGCATCATTGCACTTTCCTGCCTAATCAGCATACACACAGCCTCAACTGTACCTCATCTCCCACCTCAGCCTAAGCATATTCATTCATGGCAGAAAGTTACCAACCACACCAATGCAATAAAAAAAAAAGAGTAGCCATGTGCCTGAGGAAAACTGCATAATAACTGTGAATGAAGCAATGCGCTGGCAGGAAAATAGAGCCCATCATCAACATTTTTGCACTTTCACGATTAACTTTACATTGCATGCTTTAAGCTGTTGCTGCTTGGATGACAACATAGTGACATGACATGAATTTGACACTAACCGTGGCATATTCTTTATCACAGCTGTCATACCCAATGCATTGCATCTCAGGATTCCTGTCCATGTCCACAGAGTAGATGATCACAGCAATCACCGATAGCACAATGGACACCATGCTCATCATCAAACATACTCGCAACTGAAAAAACACACAAAGCATTTCATCTTTTTGAACATTAGAGGTGCAGAAAAGTGAGCAGCAGCTGCAGTAGTACTGGAGCAGCTGGCCTTTAACCGTAACTGTTTTTAGCTGTTCACAGATGTGGGGATGTGTTGAATATTTGCAGACTGATTCCAGACTGAGCAGGGAGGATAGATGGCTGTGAAAGCGGGCCTCTCACATCTAATCAAATCAGTAGTAATACTGGACTCATCTCCCCAGCTCTGCTTATAGGTGATACATGTGATTTATCATCATCTGACTGCTACAGTACTGTAGGAATATCACAATAAGTGGGTAATTTAGTGTACTGAAAGGATATCAAACATAAGTTAATTAAATATTCTGTTCGGGCTCTGAAACTCAACTGAAAAAAATGTTTTTAATTTAGATGTTTTGAATTATCCAGATATAACCTCTTGAAAATGGCCAGGGACCTCCTGACTATGGACTAAACACTGTGTGCTGACTAATTCTGGATACAGCACCAATATTAGAGAGGACTATTCAGATAGTCCTTTGCTGGGTAGGTAATCAGTTTAAAATTGTAGTATTTGAATATTCTGGACAGCCCTAGTAAAATCACACATATACACACACTATCTAGTTGTGTATGTGAGGCCTATAGACTCACAATCTTCATGGTGCACTGTTTGTCCAAGATGATAGTGACCACTCCTGCTGTAATGAACTGGGAACACACACCAAGGAGAAAGACAGTCACCACAGAGGAACACCACATTACTGTGCATCACAATATGAAGATCCCTCTGATCAGCTGACCAGAACAGGCTTCAACCTTATTATTCAA